TGCCGCTATGCTTCCTTGGGTGCAATCCGTCGAACTCCAAGTAAATCCGGATGGAGGACCGACTGCTAATTCTTACATGCTGCTTGTCAACCTCTTTGAGATCACTTACAAGGCCGGCAACGTACTACACAATGAGATTCAGGCGCTCTGGCAAGCATTAGCAACGGGGCCGTACGGTGGAAATGTTCAGTTAATCTTGAACTTCATCATCAACCTTTGCCTAGACAAACGGGAACAAAACTACGTCGACTACTCCAAGCAGATCGTAGTCCATCTATCGAGTACCCCTGCAGGGCTGAAGGTGGTCGAATTCTTGCTCCTACAGATCAACCCGCGGTCCATGGTAAGCGAAAAGCGCGAGCCTATGCCACCACCACCAGACGCCGTCAATCTACCATACTTGGCCGATCTCACTCAGGTCCTACCAAGTAGCAACAAGCAGGTAAGCATAAAGTAAAACTTGGAATGAACTGCGCTAATTCTCATAGTCCGGCTTCGCTCTGGGACAAGTTTGCCTCATCCTGTTGGTTGATCTTATGGTATCTCCAGTTGAGGTAGCCAAGGAGCACATTCCTTTGCTTCTACAGGTGGTCTTGGTTCTTTGGGATCACTATACTTCTGTAGTTCAGGACCAGTCTCGCGAGATGCTTGTGCATCTAATCCACGAGCTAGTCATCTCCAAGATTGAAGACGATACGCCAGGCATCAACAAAAGATCGATCGAAGATTTCATTGAAGGTATTCGACAACATGACGCCAAAGTGGTATGGAGTTACGATGACAAGAATGGCAAAGACGTTGCAGATTCAACGTTCAAGGTTCCCGAGCCGATGGAGTATGTTGCTGGCGAGGTCATGAGATTCTTTTCATTCGCGTACCCTGGGCTTCGAGAAGCTTGGGGGCGAGTCGCACTGAATTGGGCCACGTCGTGTCCGGTCCGACATATTGCATGTCGATCATTCCAGCTCTTCCGCTGCATCTTGAGCTCGCTCGATCAGCAGATGCTTTCCGACATGCTTGCAAGACTTTCCAATACCATATCAGACGAGGAGAGCGATATACAGACATTCTCTATGGAAATACTTACGACGTTACGAACGATCATCGAAGCACTAGCACCGGACGACCTCATACAGTACCCTCAATTGTTCTGGACCACTTGCGCATGCTTGGATACCATACACGAAGGCGAATTCATGGAGAGCCTGCTGATGCTAGACAAGTTCCTCGACAAGCTTGATCTGGGCGACGAAGAGGTGCTGGCAATCCTGGAAGAAAGTTGCCCGGATAAATGGGAAGGCAAGTTCGAAGGCCTTGCTCAACTGACGTACAAGGGTATCCGATCGAGCACATGTCTGGATCGATCTTTACGAATCTTGGAGAGATTGGTGGTCCTACCTTCCAGCCGCATCGTGGGCGATGATAGCCGACTAATGTACGCCATCCTCGCGAACCTGCCAAGATTCCTACGCTCGTTCGACTCTACAGCAAAAGATTCTAGTGTTCGAGCCACCGCCGAAGTGCTTGCAAAGGTTGCCGATCAGCACTACCAATGCACATCGCTGTCCGAAGCGTTGACAGCCTTCGCAATGAAGAGGTATCGTCAAGAGAAGGATTTTCTCGCGCAGACAATGTCCGCTATCCGCTCAACATTCTTCCCAGAACATGAGTTCGGCAGCCTCGTGTTCCTGCTCGGTCTCTTGATGAACAACATCGATTGGATGAAGATCAACACAATGGAAGTCCTCTGCGTCCTGTTACCCGAGATCGATATGCGCAAGCCGGAGATGGCCTCCAAAGGATCCGATCTTTTCTCGCCTCTTCTACGACTACTACAGAGTGCGTATTGCCCTCAAGCTCTGAGGGTTCTGGACTTCGTCATCAATCTCAACATGACTAGTACTCTTACGCCGTTCGACAAGCAACATATTCGAATGAGTATGGCAGGTTCTCACTCCACCAGAGGGTACAAGAAACAGTTCGAGAAAACGCAGTCATTGTACGGTATCCCTGAAGAAAGCGGCTGGTCAATTCCGATCCCCGCCATGCACTCGCAGTTGACGAGGGCCAACGTCCACGCTGTCTTCTACACCTGCGGAAATTTCGGTGAGATGAATGTGCCAGACACCGAGACACCCAAAGTAGAATTCCGCCAAGAAGAATTCCCGTTCAGCCCGTTATCCGACTACCACCGAACAGCGACCATGACTTCAGAAGATACTCGGGGCGACAGTCACATTGGTGAACTGGTCATGAAACTAGACAGCTTGGACGACTTCTTTGAGGATGACGATGACGCCGAGACGTTGACAGACCTACCAAACTTCTCGTCCTCGGGGCGTTACGCGAATGGATCGTTTGCTCACGATATGCGTGAGAATCTATACGATCAGCAAACGGCGCCTATCCTGCACAAATCTCTTACGCGAAACGCATCCGTTACATCATTTCAGTCGGGGTTCATCTCTGATGTCAAGCTCTCCCCGGCTAGGGACCCTGGTGTCATGACCCCGGGCGCTTTCAGCTCCTTTGCCAACTCTTCTTCGAGTACCTTACCCCCAACAAGCCACCCCCGCCCTAATTTACATGCCCGATCAGTGACGTCGCCATCTGCTCCAAACCAACCACAGCGCATTTCACCTTCACTCTCGTCCACCACTCTTGACGAACAAAACGAGCCGTTCTCCGACGACGAGTACTCGGCTGGTCGTTCGAACAGCACAGACAAAGCCGGGACCTTTAGTCTGGAGAACATTATCAAACCTGTCGCTCACGATACGCGAAGTCGTTTTAGGAGCGGCATGAGGCGACTGACTGGCGGCGGTGGGGACAACAAGGAAGGAGCCAAGACAAGAGACGCGATCAAACTGGCATTACAAAAGAGTCCCCAGGTGCCAAAGGTACCTGACATTTACCTGGTGAATCCCAAGAGCGCGGATCTGTAGGATGGCCAGAAGAAGCGAAGAGTACATAAGATAGGTGCTCGAGAACACGAGTGCCAAGTATATACATGGGGTAATGTGTTTATTTGTACAAAGAGATGGATGCGCTGACCGGATACCAAGGCGTAATATTGGGATGGTGTTTTCGTACGAGGAAAGGATGATTTATTGCATGTGTGGGTGACGTCCAAAAGATACCAAACGCTCTTTTCCTTTTAGCTGTTTTCAGCTCGCGAGATACCATAGTGCCAACAATACGATTAGAATGCTCATGTACCATTCGTATCCGTCGATCACTAATCAGAGCATCCTGCGTCATCAATCGACATGCATCCTAGCGTATGCTTATGGCTGCCTCGTACCCCGGTGGTGAAACATCGATATCGAGTTCGCCGCTCTCAAGTCTATGCTCAATCGCTTCACACCTTCGATTGCACTTTAGCCAGCCTGTTGTCGGAACAGGCAAGCTGTGGTCTCGATACCAGGTTCGTTCCACCGCCGTCATCCAATGTATCGGCCCTCCATTATTGATAAATCCCTCTCGCTTCTCTCGGTCTACACCATCTCCAACCTCACCTACAAATAGAGGCGCAATACTCCGCACTCCTGTGGGTGTATAACTTGGTACTACAGCTATGGTGGCGCTGAGCGAGGATAGTACTGTGGAAGCGATACGTGCGAATATGCTTTCTCCAGGCTCAGTAGATGGGGTCGAAGTAACAGAGGTGGGGAAGTCGGGTGTGGACTGCCATTCTGGGTGGTCACGTAGGACTTGGGTAAAGGATGATGTGGTTAGCCAGCCACGTTTCTGGTAGCAGAGCGCGATGGAGGGGTGCGTTGTGCGGATTACGACTGGGCCTGCTGGATGGTGGATGTAGGTGAGCATTGTTGTAGTGGTAGTTTGTATGGGTGTTGGGGTACGTGCGACATGAGGAGCGCGAGCTTTGCCAAGTGCTTGCAGCAAACATGATGTGTGAACTCTGTGAAGAGGGGTTACGTATAGTGAGCAATGTGAAATGATCGGAGATCATGGGTCGTGTCAATCTACGAGAGCGTGAGTGCGCCGAAACACTGCGCTGGACGTAGTAGCCATGGGGCGCGTGCGAATAAACTTCTGCCCATTAGACACGAATGTTGTCGTACTGTTGGATTGAGGTCGCCCCATATTCAGGTCGAACATAGAAACATGACAGCCCTATCGTGACAGCCTCTTCCCTGACAAGATTGAAATGTGATGCAGCGATTCAAGAGGATGTCAAGGATGCCATGCGAGTCCGTGCGGTGCTAATGATCTAACAGCCCTAAATCGCGTGGCATTCCAAATTCCACGCCAACGTTCTGGAACCGGTAGCTTTCGCAATCCCAGAAACAATTGTAGCTTTCGCAATCCCAGAAAAGACTGTCATGTTACACTCACGCTGAAAGATGCATTAGTCGCGACACGAGGACGATCGTGGCTGACTGATTGTCGCACCTCGATTCGGTAGACGCGGGGAAGGAGGCTGAGGAGCCATCTCCGGATTCGTCGGCGGAAGAACAGAAGCGCCATGGGTACCCTGCAGCCCTGGAGGAAGCTGAAGGTTTAGCGCACGCAGTAACGTCTAACACATGGCAGCTGGGCAGCTTCCTCTCCTATTCGCCTCTCAGACAACACGCCATTTCCGCACTGTTGCCATGTCAGACCGACAGTTGGTTAACGTGCTATCGTGCACTCAGCCAACCTCCAATTTGGGCTTCTATCGTGGCGCGCGCACCCAGCAGCGACCGTTGCGTTGTTCAGCTACGTCGTGATGGCCGTTTGAGAGCCCAAAGATAAGTCCAGCGCTGTGCTGAAACGCCTCACTTCGCAAAAAGCTCTGACCATGACGCCTTGACATGCCGGCCGCACTGCTTGCAGTGGTGTCGTACTCATGTCAAACACGCTGTCTGTGTGTGAGCATGTGAAACAAAATAGATTTTTTTGGCCTTTTCTAGAGTCTTCATCCATTACCCAGCTTTCTATAAAGACGGTCATTCCGATAAAGACACTGCAATCATTATCTCAAACTCATGTCAAACATGTCGACCGTATCTCAAGGCGCAAAGGTTTACCTCATCCACACTACACAACATACTCGCCCTTTCTTGACGACTGTACCTTTCATAGCCCATGATTTCGCTGCGTGGGGACATCGTGTCGATCACCACCCCGCAGACTCCGCATACATCACTGAGATTCGATCACGCGAGGATGTCGAACACATGAACCGCAAGGACCGCGGTGGAAGCCGGAGGACGAAGCTGATGGAAATATGGGCAACCGAAGCCGTCCGCAGAAAACGAAGGCAACGAAGAGAACCCCATGGCATTGCGATCGAAACATCGATTGGAGAGGGCGGCTTCGGACCGCAAGATGCCAGAGTGAAGAAGGCTGGTGATATGGTGCAGGATGTCATCGATGGCGTGGCTTCATTTGGTTAGTGTGCACTACAGACCCCAATACGGTCATATGGCATGAGGAGTAGTACTAACAAACTATAAGAAGCCAGATACACAGCAACACCAATTCAGCAGAACACATCACCAGGATCTCCACCTACCATCATCACCACATACACACGCCATATCTTCGCCATCAGGTACACACCAAATGCACCTCTCCCATCATGGTCGAACCCCGACATCACGTACGCCGACCAAGTCGTCTTGGAGTTCCACGACTACGAAGAGATCAGAAAGGAAGTTCTAGTCCATGCGGTAAACAGCGCGATTGGCAAGAACGAAGGCAGAATGGGCAAAGTAGAAAGATGTCCAAGAACAGCCATGAAGCGAGTGATTCTATGGGTTGACGTCGCAGATGTCTTCTTCGGAGACGTAGTACAAGACGAACGCAATGTGGAAGACAGAGATCCTGTGCCAAAATACGAGAGGGGAGAAAAGCCGCCAGTGTATGCCGAAGAGAGATAGGCAGTCCAAACATATGATACCCAATGCTTGCTTACGCATCTTCACACCAACCTGCTTCCAACCCTCTGACCTTATAGCCCCCGCTATCTAATCATAAACCACCTCCCCCCTCCTGGGACCACCCCTTTGACTCCTCGCTCCCTCCGCCATCAGTCCTTGCATGTTCCTGACCCGCACCTCGGCCATGTACTCTTGTTGTTCTGCGCTCATGTGTCTGAACTCATTAGGGTTTCTTCTGAATCCAAAGGTCTTGTGTATGGCGTAGCCCATGCAGACGAGTAGACCCGCACTCAACAGGATGAGGATGATGATGGCGCCCTCGGGGATCGCGTAGCCGGCGTCGCGCTTCGTGAGGGGAGATGCGGTTGCGGTGTTGAGGAGAGTGAAGAGGAGGATTGCGGTTGTGAGTGGGGAGGCCATGGCTTGGATTAAGCTTGGCGTAGTTGCGAGAGGTTTCGATGAGAGTGTAGATACCGTGGATGCCGGGTAGGGTCTCGATCTCTGCCACTCTGGATGGGATCAAGACGTCCACGGGTGTGTAATAACGGTGAAGGAATCAAACGGAGGTAGTAGAAACGACGGAGCGAGGACGTAGAGTGCCTCTAGATGGCTGTGCTTGTTTCGCTGAAGACGCTGACGAAAAACAGAAGAAGTGCCGTCCAGTATGACCTCGGGGTGTTCCAAGGTTTGGCAGTGAGTAAGTGAGTGAGTGAGTGAATGAGAGTGAAAGAACAAAAATGAGCAGTAGGCAGCAGCACTTAAACAACAGACGCGTCGTCCCGTTCCAAAACAGTCGACTCCACCAAGCCACTGCTTTGCCATCATCCCTTCATCCTCTATTGCCGTTATCATACGTGCGCACAGGCCATACCTTCGTACATTACCTCTTCCGACATAGCGCCCTTCCGCATCGGACGCTGGTTGGCCAACGGTGACAAGCGACCCACCCAACTTAGTCGTTTCCAAGGAGGAGATCCACTGTGCACGTGACTTTGCGAGCGGGCCAATGAGAATGCGCGAGGCTTATATGGGCGTGTCCTAAAATGGCATCCACGCATGGCTTGTGGCGTTGCAGGACCTGTGTACTGCTGACAGTGACCATGGAATATACGAGGATGACGCCCTGGAATTAGTGGACATGGATGCTGCAAATGTAACCGAAGTACTAGCTGCTACGTTTCCGCAGTCCATCGTCGTACTTGCCTACAATAAAGGACATGAAACTCAACCGAGTTTCTAACTTTTAACTCAGACTGGGACTTGGTAATGTTTCGCTCTGCTCCAAATACCCAATACTGTCAACGAGTGATAACTGCAGCACGGTTGGTGTCGACAAGTGTATCAAACGCGCTCGATCTTGGAACTGATTGTAGGCAAAGAAGTCTTACTAGATCTGAGACGAACATATTAGAAAAGAGAGTCCATTTTGATTATGAATTGGCGAGACAAGAGATAGAACCTACAATGAGGCAACGGCAGTAGCATACTGTCGCAATGCCATGGCAGTGTACTGCGAAGACCGAATCGATCTCGAATCGCATATCGCTACATAATCCGCGGCATGTAACCGTTCAAAAGCGAATAGATGAATGCAGCCTGGAAAAAGTCATTTTATGCTTACGCATTGTGATGCCGAAGAAAAATGAATAAGCCCTAGAAGCCATGCAAGCCAATCTATAACCGCGACGGCTCCGCGCGTGTATAAATACGGAATGAACGTCGCCCTCCCAACGCCAAGACATGCATTCGTCAATCATACCATGCGACTCTCTACTGCGTCGCGCATTGAGGACCCTCAGCCTCCTCGTCATCGTCTTCCCACTCAGCGCCACCTGCGCGTGGGTCTCCACTGCCGGCGCCGTAGTCCTCCATGTCGGCGTCCCATTCGACGTCGACCTCTTCCACCTCTTCGTGCTTTTCTTCCGGCTTGTCGTCTTTTGGTAGCGCATCCCGGAGCTTCTGTACTGCAGCGTCGTTCTTCAGCCAGCCGTCCTCGGGGAATTCGACGTCGACTACTAGGTAAAGATCGCCACGAGCGTCGCTGCGCTTGATAGGCATACCCTCGCCTTCAATCTTGAGGATTTGTCCTGGTCTCAGGACGTTGCCGTCTGGTTGTTGTACGTTGAGCTTGAGACCCCGTCCGTCGAGATGAGTGATGACTACTCGGTTGAAGCCAGTCAAAGCTTCTACCAAGCTGACCTTCAGCTCAGCCCTCAGATCAGCACCTGCGCGCTCGAAGACATCGTGTGGCGTTTCTGTGAGCGTGAAGATGATGTCGCCTGGCTCCTGGTCGGGTACTTGGTCTGCCTCTCCTGCGAGGACGATGCGTTCGCCTTGTCGCGCACCACGGGGAATGTAAAGTTCGAGGACGTTCCTGGTTTCCACAACCTTCTTTCCTTTGCACTTCTTACAGCGATGCTTCTCGGGAATGACCTGGCCAGAACCTGAACAGTTACCGCAAGGAACGGTCTCTTGGGTGACGAGGCCAGGGCCGACCTGGCGCAGGACTTGCTTGGCACCTGGGAAAGTTAGTATGTCTAGATGATGCGAGATAAATTAGCGACGTACCGCGTCCGTTACAGACAGCACAAGAGTTGCTCTTGGCGCCCTGCTTTCCTCCGCTGCCCTTGCACATGTTGCAAATGATGTTCTTGGTGCTGGAGAACTTGGTCGTCTTGCCCTTGTACAGCTCCTCCAGGCTGACCTCGTACTCCTGCTCTACCGACCGTCCTTTCCGTGGCACGTTTCGTCCGCCGGGCATGCCTCCCATGCCGCCCATTCCAGGCATTCCGCCAAATCCACCCATTCCGCCGAACATTTGCGCAAATATGTCGTCGATGTCCGGGCCTTCGCCGCCCATACCGCCTCGGGACGGGTCGAAGGCAGCCATGCCGTGGGTGTCGTACATGTGTCGCTTGTCATCGTCGGAGAGGATCTCGTAGGCTTGTTTCGCGGCCTTGAAGCGGGTCTCAGCCTCTGCGCGGTCATCTTCTGCGACCTTGTCGGGGTGATGTGCTAGCGCAGCCTGTCCAGGTCAGAATGGGGTCGCCCTTGCGTTGTTGTTGCTTACGAACCTTGTGGTATGCCTTCTTGATCTCGATCTTGCTTGCGCCCTTTTCGATCTCGAGGACCTCTGTTCGCGTTAGCAATGTTCCAAATGAATAGACGAGTATACTAACCGTAGAGGTCGATTTCTTCATCCACTGGAGGTGGCATTCTGTTAGTGAGAGTCGTGTCGTAGTAGACTGCGAGTACAAACTTTTGCGTTGTTGTTGGGTTGCGAGTGGGTAAGTGGTCCAAAGTATGTACAAGAATAAGGCGAGGCACAGCGACGTAAAGGGCCTCGTCCAGTGGGAGTGAAGGCAACAAAGTTTCTCCAGATTTGTCGATCGCAGGCAGGTAATGCGGGCCAAATTGTTAGCAGGCGGCGCCCCCACTAACGTCGGATCCCTGCACGTCATTTTCAACCGCGAACTCGAACCCTTTGCGTCGCATCAACACCGCCATGTCGTTTTCCTTACTCCGTCCATCACTGTCGCAGTACACGTGCCGGTCGTGTCTACTTCGCCTTTCACGCGCCTCGCGACGTCCGATTTCTTCGAACACCTACCACATCAAGGAAAATAGTGCTAAAGCCGATGCAAAGGCCGCCGTACCAACATCTCCCGCACGGACGCGTTTTGCGCCTTCACCAACCGGCTACCTCCATCTTGGATCGCTCCGGACGGCGCTGTTCAATTACCTCCTCGCGAAACGGACAGGTGGTCAATTCCTACTCCGGATAGAAGATACAGACCAAAAACGCACAATACCCGACGCCGAGCAACGACTATTCGACGATCTACGATGGGCAGGACTGCAATGGGATGAAGGGCCAGAGGTTGGGGGCCCGTATGGGCCGTATAAGCAGTCAGAGAGGAGCGCGATATACAGGGAATATGCGCATCAATTGCTGGAATCAGGCCACGCATACCGCTGCTTCTGTTCTTCCGAGCGCTTGAACGCGTTGGCGGAACACAGACACAAGCTCGGCATCGCAACCGACTACGACCGCACATGCGCCCCGCCCGCGATATCCAAGGAAGAGAGTGACGAAAGAGCGCACAAGGGCGAGTCGCACACCATACGTCTCAAAGTCCCAGACCAGTACCCGACATACAAAGACCGCATCTATGGCACCTTCCGGCCTCTCAAGAGACGCGGTCATGTCACCGAATCCGCATACGAAGACCCAATCCTTCTAAAGTCCGATGGCCTCCCCACATACCACCTCGCAAACGTAGTAGACGACCACCTCATGAAGATCACGCATGTAATTCGAGGCAGCGAATGGATGCCCAGCACCCCCAAGCACATCGCCATGTACCAAGCCTTCGGGTGGACACCCCCAGAGTTCGCCCACGTTGGCCTCCTCGTCGATGAAAACGGCAACAAGCTCAGCAAGCGAAACTTCGACACCGACATCACCGCCTTCAAAGAGATGGAAATCTTCCCCGAGACCCTCACAAACTTCGCCGCGCTACTCGGATGGAGCCACAAGGAAAAGAGCGATGTCATGGACTTGAAGACACTGATTGATAACTTCAGCCTGAAGTTCACAAAAGGCAATACCACCGTCACATTCGGCAAAATGCAATTCCTCCAACGCAAACACGCCCTGCAACGCGCATCAGCCGGCGGCCCCGCCCTCGAAGAAATGGTCCGCAACGTCTCCCGCCTCCTCACCTCCCCCGACTCCCCCTACCAAGAATGGAAGTCCGTGATCGGAAGCCCCTTCCCCGACGACTACATCCGATCCATCATAACCGCCGACGCAGAAAACTACACAAACGCAAACGAGTTCCTGTACCGCAACTCCTTCTTCTTCACGCCCCTACGACCATTTGATAAGCAGCCGCCCATGTCGACGACTTCCGATATACCCATGCGCGCACAGATGCTAGCGCAGATTGAAGAGAAGGATTGGAATAAGGAGGATTTGATGCAGAAAGTGCATGAGATGATTGATGGGAGGCCCGAGGGGAAAAAGGGCGCGAAGGATGTGTATCATTACTTGAGGAAGACGATCACGGGGCAGGAGCAGGGCATGAGGTTGTATGACATCTTTGTTATTCTGGGTCGGACGGAGACGCTGAAGAGACTGGGGTTGTTGGTCAATTAGAAGGTCGTGTAATTACGAAAGTGTAACAATAGTGTATAAGAAACGAGACAAGAATATACATGTATTTGATCACATCGAGTTAGTGTTGCAAGCAACAGTAGATATATATATATATAGAGAAGTATAAGGTGCAGGGCCTCCGCAGCGTAGTCGCGATTAGGTAGATGAAATAATTATAAGGTTTAGTAGTGTATGCTGTTAACGCAACGCCTGTTTGTAGGCGTCTGTTAAGACCTCTACGCATAGAGAGTTAGTACTA